ATGTACTACGTCAATTGCAGTATGTCTTCTGTGGTTGTCGTTTTTATGCGTTTTTTGCTGTGTAACAGCAGTACAAAACGCATATTATCGTGGGGTTTTAGTATAGTGTTTTCCGCCAACGGGTGACACGGCAAGTTTAAATTCAGCCTTCCTGTTCAGGCGGGTAACATGTACGACCCCCTGAAAGTTTATCGGGTAAAATCAGTATCTCGGGAACTACGCAAGCTACGAAGCTAAGATTTTATCGGTATGTCCCCTGACCACATGCGACCCAGAAAACTCCGATTCAACTTTCCTGTACCCGCGGGTAACTATACGGCCCGCTGAAACTTTTAGCGAATAAACTGTTATCTCGGGAAACGCAGAATCTAGAAAGCTGGTAAGGTAATGACCGCTGTCCACGTGCGGCCTCGCAAATTCAGTGTTCTCACGCTCTCGGGTATCCACCCCCCCCCCTTTTGAAACTTTTGGCGGATAAATTATTATCTCGAGAACCACGGAAGCCTGGAAGCTGAAATCTTATGGGTGCATCCACTGCCTACGTGCGATCCAGAGAACTTGAACTCAACGTTCCCGTGCCTGTGGGTAACACATACGGCTTTGTAAAGTTTTAGTGTTTAAAATCATTATCTCGAGAACCACGGAAGCTAGGAAGCTGAGATTTTATGGGTCTGCCCCTTGACCACGCACAACCCAGAAAATTTAAATTCAGTGTTCCCGTGCGCTTAGGTGTCGCGTAGGACCCCGTGGAAGCGTTGTCGGAAAATTATCTCGGGAACCATGAAAACTAGGAAGCTAAAATTTCAGGATGACATTTTCTGCCGTTGCAGGTATCTCACAAACCCAAATTTAGCTCCCAAGTTTACAGAGGTCTTACGTAAGACGACGTGAGAGTTTTGATGTGAAAGTTACTTGCCCAGAAGCCGGAAAACTAGGTTGAGTTTTGGCAGGATGTCCCCCATTCTTGTTTTCACATTCAACTTTCACTTATCGGCACGTTAAATTTTCAGTGGGAAATTCCTCACCTTAGCAGCAGACAGCATATCTATTGTTTTTCCATATAAGGAAGTTTAAAA